GACAGCCTATCCACAACTTGTCAAAACGCTTGGAGCGTTGCGCTGAGCACTTTGAAAGGCAATTAAATCGGCCGGAATTGTTAGATTTCTCGCCGGCCAGTGATCGCCGTGCTCTGTGGGCTGTCCATTTGGATCCACCCTCTCGCTCAGAAGTCGAACGTGAGATCGGACTGTTGAAGTTAAATAAAGCCGCGGGACCTGATGATCTTCCTCCAGCTCTCTTCAAATTCGGGGGACCTGCTCTTGTGGGTAATTTACATGAATTTCTAGTTAAACTGTGGGAGCAAGAAACTGTCCCAACCGATTGGAGCCGCTCCGTCATAGTCCCAATTTTCAAGGGAGGCTCACGATCGGAATGCGGCAGTCATAGAGGAATCAGTCTGATCTCCATCGCCTCCAAATTGCTTGCCTCTGTCATCCTTCACAGACTGACTGGCACTCGTGAAAGCCAGATTCGTGAAGAGCAAGTCGGGTTTCGTCGAGGTCGTGGCTGCATTGACCACATCTTCACGTTGCGTCAGTTGTTGGAGCACCGTCACATATATTGGCGGCCCACCGTTGTCGTGTTCCTCGATATCAAAGGTGCATTCGATTCGGTGGATAGACTTGCACTTTGCAACTGTCTACTCAGGAAAGGTGTACCTGAGAAATATGTGAATATTATCCGAGCATTATATGCGCGTAGCTCGGGCAGAGTGAGGGCTTACGGCAAGTTGTCGTCACCCTTTAATATCTCCAGTGATGTGAGACAAGGATGCCCGCTGTCACCTTTCCTCTTCAACTTCGCTGTTGACGAAGTCATGGAAATCGCGTTCACAGGACACGACTTAGAAGGTGTGGATCTGCTCCCAGGTGAATGACTTCTTGACTTAGAGTATGCTGATGATATTGCCCTAATCTGTGACAGCTCACAAACGTGTCAAGCGGCACTGGACAGATTGGCACTATCTGTCCGTCACTTCGGGCTTTGCTTCGCACCCTCGAAGTGCAAAGCGTTCCTCCAAGATTGGTCTGGACCGTCCCCTACGCTGACCCTTGGTGGGGATCAGCTAGAAGTCGTTCAAAAATTCAACTACCTGGGAAGTTGTATCAGCGCCCGTGGGATTGAAGATGAGATCACGATCCGTATAGCAAAAGCTCGGGGCGCTTTTGCTAACCTTCGCCACTTATGGCGGCGGCGCGACATCACTCTTACCCTGAAGGGTAGAGTGTACAATGCAGCGGTACGTTCGACCTTACTGTACGGTTGTGAAACCTGGCCCCTTATAGGAACGGACCTGAAGAGGCTAGTTACGTTCGACCACCGGTGCCTTCGCAATTTAGCTCACATCTGGTGGGAACACCGCGTGAGCAACGAGCGTGTTCGACGCCTTGTTTACGGCACAGGAAAAGGAACTGAACCGCTCAGCACCGTTATTTCACGCACCAGGCTCCGATGGCTGGGCCACGTGTTACGCATGCCAGCCCACCGACTCCCGCGCGACGTGCGTTGTTTGCTCGCCGGGGGTGTGGATGGAAGAAGAGGTGGGGTGGCCAAGCGATGACTTGGTCGAGAGGAATGAAGGCCCTCACTTCTGAGCTGGCCTCGGTTGGAGCGTCTCGGCTCCCTGGTTGGGGTCCGAAAGACGATGAACACGTTTGGTTGGACACACTTGCTGATATGGCAAGGAGCCGATCTCAGTGGCGTTCGTGCTGTGAGTTTCTTTGTCCCACCCCATCCCTCTTAGCCTACCCCTCCAACCACGATCTCATTATTTAGGCTTATATAATTTTGCATAGTAATTTTTTTGATGCACAGTAGCCGGCTAGTAGCTTACCGGAACGATACCCATCCGTTACCGGTAGCTCAGCCGGCTTGCACCAGTTGCATTCTTTTTTCTCCTTTTTTCTGTGTATTGCGGCACAGTAGCTGAGGTGTTCCCCACCTCTGGCTAACGTGTATGATGATGATGATGAATCACAGGTCCTATCCTATTTGAAGTGATTTTTCGGTTCCATAGGCTAGAATGTCCCATGCAAATGCAGATTCTTTACGGCATTGTTCTTCGAAGTAGTTTTATCTGCGATACTTCGGAATTCGTAGCAGCGCTTTTCTTTCACCTAAGCACTCAGTTTACGTTCTGGCTGGGATATTGACTGGTTGCTCACCCGTTTTCGGGGATCCTGGGGCCAAAGCGCCACATGGAGACCCACATCACATGGCCAGCCGCGGTCACCAATTGATCACATCGCCATTAGCTATCGCTGGCGGGGCTGCATACAGGATTGCAAATCAATCTGAGTACCTGTCTCACTTCGTATAACTCACTGGTGTGTGCCAAAATATAGTGCGCCCTGGCTTGTAGGTAGACTGTTTAATATTATCCTTGTGATTTTCCATAGAAATGTGGGGAATTAGTAGTTTTTCAAGCGCCTTCAACAGCACGGAAGTGCACGCTGTTGGACTATACTTCTGCTACCTTCTTAGGCACGCACACGTGTGTTATTCTGGCTGCTTTCTAGATGTCGGGGATGGTGCCACTCATTAAACATCGATTAAAGTTCTCTGTCAAAGGTAACTGTTCCTCATCTGCGCACAGAGCGATTGGTAACAGGGCATCAGAGCCACTAACTTTGTTTGACTTCAGTCTTGTGATTTCTCTGTAAACGCGGATGTGGTCAAATTAGCTGAGGGGACCAGTGCTGGGGAAGGGAGGTGCGGTGAAAGTGTTTGATATTGAGGAGTTAAACTCTGTGTTGAGGTTGTCCACATCCAGAACACTGAATGGGCTACTGGGATTTTTGCCGATGCTTTGCTTCAGGAGCCTTCACGTATCACGACAGCTGTGGTTTCCTAAGACGACTTCAACGTGTAGGCTGTTTACTCATTCTATCACGGCTTTTATAGCCACTGACAGGCATTTGACATGGGATGTTACCTTGTATCTGTAAATCAGTTCTTCTTTCTACGCATTTGGTTAAGTAGAGGAGATGATAATCTATCAGTCCGCTAACCTATGGTCTCAGCGCAGCAATAAGGACTGAAACAAATTGATACAGTCTGATCTGACAGATCCACATTGGTGAACATTGTAAATTCGGTTAAATAGATCGTCGATTTAAGAACTACAATGTTTTCCGCTGTAAAGTTTTGCAGCTTAGCAGTTCTGAATGGCCTTCTTGTCATTGCAACCTACTTAGTTTTTTGGGCATAATTTTACTGCAGTGATCAAAATTGCCACGCTGAAAGCAGGTTAGGTTTGTCAGTAAAAACGAAATCTAAATGTGCTTCGAGTCGAGTGGGGATTTCCACCAAGTTGGAAAATTGTGTCACTCTTATTGAAATCATCAGCGGTGATACAGAGGGAACATTCTAACTTCGATTACAATTCTGAGACAAAGTGATCTGCAAACGTTTTCTCTCTAAGAGTGCTGCGTTAGGCACTACAGAAGGTTCCCAACTGCAAAATCTGCCATGCCACTAAGAAACTTTGATTTGCATTCCAACAGTTGATCCTCTATTGAAGCTGTTGAGTAAGCGGATAGTTGCGAAACTGATGTGCACCCTTCTTCGCTAATGTCGGTTGTTACACGTCCTCCGCTGTGCTGAAGCTTTTCTGGGCCGCCGAATCTGTTGTATCGATAGCCATTGCGTTTCACGACTCCATCTTAAATGTTGAGCTGTCACCAACTTTCTTGCAACATCGCCCTCTTAACATTGTTTAAAGAATTTTATTTGTCACTGCGTGGATTCCCCGACTAGATCCATATTGCGACCTAATTCTGCCTCTACATTCTTCTGTTGGTTTTCAGCTAAGATAACTGTGCGGAAACTGGGAACCTCAATGTTTTAGCGCCTGGTGATTATCTGGTCATCGCACTTTCTCTTCCGATGCATTTTTTTGCTATTAAGTGGAGCACGTTGGCATACTTGCGTGAAATATGTATGAGATAACCGGGCAATTTCACAGACACTAGTCTGCTGAATGGCAGGCTCGCATGTCCCAAGGCAACTTTATATATACTAGCATCGTGTTGCTGCTGCACGCAGGCGACCCTCCTCAAGTATTGTCTGTACAATGCCGCTGCGTCACACACTCCATGTGTATGTACAGCAACACTGCACGACTATGCAGACCCTGCCCTTTATGATGGGAGAGATGCGTCCTACCAATGTCACGAATTCTTGCAATTATATGCACTGGTCGTGTTTTGATTACAGTAAATTAGAGCTTTTTAAATGCGTCACCAGCAGAAACACTGCCACCTAGTTAGTGAAATCTGTCCACCTATTCAATCTGCGATCCATTAGGGATGAACGCACAAGCGATGACTGCCAATCTTGGGACCATACTTTGCACTTCAATGGGAGAAAAACATACTTTGTTCTCCCAGAGTTCGTAAGCACTTTCCCCTAATTTGCTTTTTCGACGTTTTCCGATCATTAAATGTATGTCCTTCTTGTATCTATCTTTTGCACTGTGTAGTAGTAGTAGTAGCAGTACTAGTAGTTGTTGTTATGTATAAATACTTCTGTTATTTCTCGATCATGCAAGAGACTGTTTTTTTTACCATTTCCGATGCTAGTGTGGCGACAATGCCAACAATAACTAAACACTGTTACAAGTTCGTTGCCTCTTTTCCCTACATACGCTAGCACTCCAGCGCAGTGTCTTTTTCGATTCACACTGAACCGACTGCTTCCCTCATTTGAACATCTATCGGTCAAGTGCTCTTTTCTCATTTGCTGCTCTCGGATTGCACTTCATTTTGCTGTTATACAGGACGACTTTTGTAACATAGTCGCGCGTCTATTCGACTCTCTCGTCAACAAGTGTGAACACTTTTCCACAACCGCTATGTTTTCGCACTGGTTCTCCTGTGCTATCTGCTCTATAGCTTCAGTCACTGAGCTTTTCTCTGTTCGGCCTACTAGTGGCTTTGATTACTGTTCCATCGGTTGCAATCATTCCGATTATTCTAACGCTATGACACCATAAGTAGGGGGGCAATATTGACACATGTTAATTTTTGTTTCCCCACTTCTATTCCGACGTTCTGGTATTTAACGTTCTCTCATTAAGTAACACCCTTCATAATGGTCGTCAATTATTTTCCCTGGTGAACGTCCCCCCATTTTTATAACTCGGTTCCACGGCTTTTCCTTCAGAATTTGTTGAAGACACGCAAGAGCAGCATCAGGAATCCCTCATCCCACCCCGGTTGTGTCAGCCTCATGGAAAAGGATTATCTCAAGCCGATTTGGATTGTCTTCGAAATTTTGTTTACGACTTCGTGGTTCGTTGTCTGCTACCATGGGTTGAGCAAACCATACGAAATTTGACCGAACAGGTAATGGTGATTGATTACGCGCTTAATCCAATGTCTCGTGCTGGTGTCAAAATGACCCCATTCTCCATTACACCTGGACCGCTTTTCTTAGACTACAACTATGGCTATTCAGTTCTCTTTAGAGACACCATCCTACCTTTCATTCCACAGATAGAGGTTGTGTCACAACATTAAGTTACTCTGTCCTAAAACGAAACATCACATTTCCCCAGCAGACACACATTGTATGTGACATACCAATTTCAGTTGACTCGCCAATTTCTCAGATTCTTGATAAAAAAGTAAGACTATTTAGCGATTTCCGCAATGGGACTTTGCATTTTTGCTTGAAACAGAGTGCTGCTCATTTACCCTCTGTGAACACTTCTATCGCAGCCTTCCTGGACTTTAATGCGCCACGATTGTCTGCCTAACTCCTTGATCAATTGCGCTACTCTGAGTGAGAATAATTGCTATCAGGGCCAGTCATGCAAGACAGCCGAATGGGTAATCAGCAAATTCCGTCCCAACATTCTTTTGTTTGGAAATTGAGAAGTGGTCGTTAGTATTCTTCTTTAAATTCCTAGTCATTTTGTGGCGTGGAAAACACGCCACGGGTTATCTTTGACGATGAGAGAGCACCACTTTTGCTCAACTGCTTGCCACCGCCTGATCAAAAACTTGCAACTCCGCCAAAATTCGCTTGCCATTTGTCGTGGCCCCATGCATTTACTTCTCAACTATCGAAAAGCATGGATCGTTCTGGATGGTTCTAAATCCCTCGAGCTTACATGCGACATGCAACAAACATATCTAAATGTTGTTTCATTCTCACACTTGCTCTCCATCGCATTGCTTCCAATCTCCAAGTGGAGTCCACCAAGGATAACTCCATTTTTCTCACTGAGTCATCGGCTACGTAAGTTACTCTCGAACAAATCCCTCTCAGAATGTGCCGCCGGGGTAATTATCCACCAACAACACTGTTGATTAAATAGCATCAGAAGTACGCCCATACGCAGTGCCGACGCTTCGCTACCGCGCAACCACCACCAGTGGCGCGTGGACAAAGGATGCTGCAAGGGTCGCTCGGTCCCTTACGCAGGCTCGAACTCGTGTGTGTACCTTTCGAATTTATACCACCTTCCACCAGTCTTTCTATGTTCGAACACTGTCAGATCGTCAACGCTGACAAGACACATGTATTCTATTGCATATGCACGCACCAAACCCGTCTTGTAATGCCAGAGCTTATGTAGTTCGCGTCTCCAGTAGCGCTGAGTCAATTAGCGAGTAGTCCTCACTCTTCAATACCCGGTTTCAGTGTCTCCAGCTGGCTGAACGTCATGCCGACGATCTCGTTGCGTACTCGGGGATCCTCAATCGGGAATGCGGGCGCTTTCAACTTGGTTCACTCACCGAGGATTATTTCAAGTGTCTCATCTTCATCGCTGGTCTTCATTTACCCAAAGATGCTGACATACGCATGCGCCTCTTGGCCAAGTTGCAACAAGACAGCATGGTCACATTCCAGATGGTGGCCGAGGAGTGCCAGGTGCTGATCGAGCCTAAGCACGACGGAACGATGATCCAGAACACTCTTACATCCGGTATGATTCATTCAGTCGCAGCAGCCCAGCCGCCATCTTCCTTGCAGCCAATATAACTCGACCGAACGAACCCCCACCCTCTCCTTGTCGATTTTGTGCCGTCTGGCATTTTCACCGAGAATGCACGTTCCACTAGCACCCATGCTAGCGCTGTGGTTGAGTGGGGCACCGAGGTGGCTATTGTGGCACTATGCCAACCATGGGGGCCAAACCTGTCATTGCCTGCACCTCCAGTACAAGAAGAAATACCGAACCAGACCCAAGCACAGAGACAATCTGGTAGACAGTTCCATGAATTTGCTAGTTACATTACAGTTCAATGCTGCCGACCACAGGAAGTTCGTAGATGTCACGATCAACGGAATACCGGTTTGATTGCAATTAAACACTGCTTCCAACTTCACGATGATCGCGGAGGGTCTCTGGATATCCCTTGGCATATCGCTTTTCCAGTCGTCCACACAAGCCGCCACCAGTGCCTGTGGTGGACGAGTGCAGCTGCGCTACTCTATCATCCCGGGGTATCACACTCGATGCTACCTACTACATCACGAAATCGAAACTCAACTTGGTCTTGATTTGCTCGAAAACCTGGGTCTGAATGCTTTACCTTTTCGAGTCACTGCAGCGAGGTGCATTCCCAAGCAGTACCGACTAACCAAATCGACGACATCACCAAACAGTTCTCCCCAGTGTTCGAGGATGGTCTTGGCCTCTGTACACACAGTCGAGCCGTGTTACAGCTCACATCTGAGGCTCAACCGGTTTTCGTCCCAAAAGACTCTTTCCGTATGCAGCGCTACCCTTGGTCGAAGCGGAGCTCAAACGATTGGAAGAAGCAGAGGTACTAGTGCCTCCTGTGCAGCCCCGATCATAGTGGTCAGGTAACCAAATCAGACGCTCCGCATTTGTGCCGACTCCTCCACTAGCTTCAATGCTGCGCTCGAACCTAACTGCTACCCTCTACCAATTCCAGCTGCTCTCTTCACAATGCTCATTGAGGGCACTTGTTTCGCATAGCTCGATCTGGTAGACGCCTACCTCCAGATTGAAGTGGCTCCTGAGTCGCAGGCCCTCCTGACGATCAACACGCATCCCAGTTTCTTCCAGTTCAGCGGGCTGCCGTTTGGTGTCAAGACCGCTCTGGCGGTCTTGGACACGATAATCGCCGGCATTCCAGGTACAGCGGCGAACCCGAACGATCTCATTCTGGACCGAACCCCGGATGAACTTCGAGAACGACTGGTCAAGGTGCCACAATCTATCCAGGATTACGGGTTCAGACTGAGGGTTGAAATATGCCACTACTTCCTTAAATCCATTAGATGTCTAGGCTTCATCTTCGATGCCAGTGGCTGTCATCCAACTCTAGGAAACGTTCTAGTAATTCAGCAGATGCCAGTTCCCGGTACTGTTTCGCAACTGGCCCTTTCCTTGGCCTCATCAACTTTTATAGCGCTTTCCTGCTATCGCTGCATAAAGTGTGAGTCCGTCTCAATCGATTGCTGCAGAAAGACGTCTCCTGGCATTGGTCCCTCTCATGCTATAATTCCTTTGTACGCCTGAAGTTTATATTGTGTTCCAATTTGTTGCTAACGCATTGTGACCCAATCCTACCGATATTGGTTGCCGCTGACGTATCCAACTCTGGGATCTGGGCAGCTTTTACCATCGATTCTGTGACCGTTCCGAGAAAGCTGTCATACACGCCTCAAGTACACTAACGGCCGCAGAAAAGAACTATGGTCAGATTGAAGAGCAAACATTCTCCATCGATTTCGCAGTCAAGAAGTTTCACAATATGCTTTACCGTCGACGATTTACTTTACTGACCGACCACAGGCCACTGCTATCAATCTTTGGTTCTAAGAAAGGCATTCGGGCATACTCAGCTAGCCGACTTCAAAGATGGACCATCATACTTCTTGGCTACGACTTCGAGATCCACTTCTGCTCCACGGAGAATTCCGGTCATGACTGATTACAGTCACCAAGGAAGACGTATGTCATGAACTTTCGAAAACCATACGTAGCTTTCCTGTCATTGCCGCCAACATCCGTCGTGCCACAAATCATGTCCCTATCTTCCGCTAGGCTATCAGCTACGTCAAAAGAAGTTGACCTACCGCTGCCCTGTCTGGAGAACTCAAGTGGCTCTCTCAGCGTCGCGATACTCTGTCTGACATAGATTCCTGTTTCATGACTGCTGACAGAGTCGTGGTTCCAGCCTGCCTTCGTCAAGTCATACTTCGTCAGTTTTATTCTGCACATCCTGGTACGATCAGAATTGAAGCAATCGCTCGAAGCTATGCTTACTCTCCCGGTATATACAGCGACATCGAAGAGCTCGTTCGCCACTGCTCACGATGCCAACAAGCATCCAAGGTACCATCGCGCCAATCACCAGTTCCATGGAAACCGGCCGAGAAACCTTGGTCTCGCATACATGTCGACTTCTCTGGTCCACTCAACGGCTGCTCCTACTTGGTGCTTATTGGTGTCTACTCCAAATGGCCCGAATCATGCCAATGAACCCTACGGCCACTACCGCCACGCTTGCTTGTCTTCTGTGAATCTTCAGTCAGCATGGACTCCCAAAAGTCCTGGTGTCCGGCAACGGCTCTCAGTTCACGTTCTCTCTTTTTGGGAATTTCTGCCATCGTTACGAGATCAGCCACCTCCGTGCACCGCCATATCATCCCTAGTCTAATGGGCATGCGGAACGGTTCGTGGACACTTTCGAGAGAGCACTTCTGAAGCCACAGTGGGAGAGGACAGTGGATGCAAGTTTCCAGGCATTTTTATTCGCTTACAGGGCCACATCGGATCCGGCGTTTCCTAATGGCCAATCACCTGCCGAACCTTTGATTGACCGAGAACTGCGCACCCCCACGAGTTGCTAGTCCCAACCGAGGGGCCTCCAGTACGACCTTCAGTTTCAGACAACTGCAATCGTTTCGTCGTTGGAGATCCTGTGTACGCACGCAACTACCGAGCAGATCACTAGAATATGACTGAAGGGACAATAACGTCCCATCGAGGTAGCATGTTATGTGACGTCGCCGTGTCTAATAGGTTTGTCACTGTAACTAACTCCGACCGAGACCTCAAAGGATGGTTACCGTCAGTTGTCACTACTCATGTCAATGGACACATTCGGGATCGCCTGGGAGCCGTCGGTACTAGAAACAGCTATCCAACCAACTCGTAAAACAAACTGCCCCCGCCGTCGAATTGGACGCATTCGCAGCGAATCAACAACACTGCAGGTAAACCCTCATCAAAACCGGTACCATCAAGCTACAAGGGAAGATGCTGCAGGGCTGACACAGCCCTGCCAAACTCATCGGGAGTTCAACCGAGCCGGTACACTATCGGGCCCGATAAACGCGGTCGTTATGCAGAGACCCA